TCTCATCAAATAATACTTAACGGTATCGGGTTTTTATAATTACGATTTTGACATTTGGTCCGTTTATAAGGACATCGTATCTTATTTCCATCAATAAACTCCGGATGACTAATCGAAAAATTAATAAATTCATTAATCCTATCTACGAAACGCTCATTTAATATTCCATTAGTTAATCTAAAGTCAATCCAAGAATGATCCAAATTCATTTTAAACTAAATATTTTTTTAATTACTAATTAATTTTGTAATTACTACAAATTAAAAATATTTCTAATAACTTAATTAGTAAATGAACTTAGTAAGTTAATTACCTTGTATTAATCAACCAAATATTAATCAACAACTAATTTATGTATATAATATTGAGTAATTAACTAAATTAAGTATTAAGTAAATTAATTAAAAAGTAATTTATTATTTTAAACACAAATTATAAATTTTACTTATTAACTTCTTTAATTAATCAACAACTAAATAAACTTAATTACTAATTAATTTTGTATTTACTAAATAAAATTTTGAAAAATTTTTATTTTTTAATTATTAATTAATTATTTAATTATTTAACTCCTTTAAATAATCAACAACTAAAGAAAATTAATTCCTAATTAAATTTTTAATTACTAAAAAACATTTACAAAAAAAATTAATGTTTAAATCACTACTTAATTTTGTAATTAATTAACTCCTTAACTGGACCAAAATATAGTTTTAATCAACAACTAAATAAACTTAATTACTAATTAATTTTTTAATTACTAAATAAAATTTTGAAATTAATTAATTTTTATTTACTAATTAATTTTTTAATTACTTAACACCTTTACTTAATCAAAAAATAAATAAACTTAATTACTAATTAATTTTTTAATTACTAAATATAAATTATTAATTATTAATTTTTTAATTACTAATTATTTTTGTAATTACTAAAAATTTAAAATATTTCTAATAACTTATTAACAATTTTCTAAAATAATTAACTTTCCAAAATACAATCAATTAAACTAACTAAATTAATAAATAACATTTAACAATAAACTAACTAAATTAACAATTAATAATTACAAATTAACAATTAAACTAATAATAATAACAATAAAATTAACAACTAAACAATTAAAAAAATTAATAACAATTAAATTTCCTTAATAATTAAAATAACTAAATTAATAATTAATAATAAATTTACTAAATCAACAATTAAGAATAACAATAACACAATTACCGACAAAAATTAAATGAACACACAAAATTAAAATTAAATTAAGTAAATAATTAAAAAAATAAAAAATAAATTAAGGGGTTAGATGAGGAAGGACCTTTCACCAACACAAGGAGGAGAAGGGGTTGTGCTGGTGAAAGGCCTTCACGGATTGGTGCAGTTGAAAAATGGCCGATTGAGGAAGGGGGAGAGAGGAAGAAAGAAAGAGGAAAAGGAGAAAGAAAGGGGGAGAGACATAGGGGAGAAAAAGAAGGAGGAGAGAGAGGAGAAGATTGGAAGGAAAATAAAGGAGAGGGGTAAGATTTGATGAAAAATGGAAGCAAATCGACGATGGAAATGGGGAGAAGAAGAGAGGGAAAAGAAATTTTTTGGGAAACTTTTTAGGTAGAATGGTATTTTGGGATTGAAATTTTTAGTGACGAGTCCATAAAGCGTTGATAATTATCTGAAAAAAGTTGAAAAATAGCAATTTTCCTCCAACGGTAGAATATAGCGACAATTTATGGACCGTTGCTAATTACTTTCTTTTGCAACGGTTTTTTTTTTTTTTTTTGTAAAAAACATTGCAAAAAATGGTTAGGGTTAAAAAATTTTATTAAAAAAGGGAATTCGTGATGATTTTTTTTGGAAAAAACGATCGCTAATATGCTTGAAAAAAGAATTAGTGACGTTCCACCAAATCGTCGCTAATTTTCATGTTTTGCGACGGTTTTGTTTATAAAAATTGTCACAAAAAAATGGTCCAAGTAGAAAAATTTATACTTAGCGATGGTTTTCATATACCCTCGCTAATGTTTCGGTTAATTAGCGACAATTTGTTAAAAACCGTTGCTAAAAACGATCATTTAGGACCAATTTAGTAATGGTTTTGAAGACCCTCACTAAAATGCTTAAAACCGTCGCTAATCCCCTGTTTTTTGTAGTGGAATTCGCTACTAACACTGCAAAATTTATGATGGATTAGCGATGACACTTATGTCCGTCACTATATGTGAAAAAATAGGCGACTAGTTGTGTAAAATTGGTTGATATTTTGATTGGATTAGCGATGAACTTAGATGTCCATTGCGAAATAACAATGAATCATCGGCAAGTGGATTTTAGCCCCCTTTTCTTCCTCCTCCCCCATTTTCTTCTCCCTCTCCTTCTCTAGCTACAACTCGTCGTTCTTCCACCCCCTCCAAACCACCACCAAACTTCATTCCTTCACTCTCAATCGATCCACACCCACTCCACGGTCTTTTCTCCCAAACCCCCCTTTCGATTTTTCTTTCCTCCTTTTAGTGTAATTCCTCTCGAATTAGGTTTGTTTTTTTCTCTCTTTTACTTTTTTAATTAAAGTAAGTAATTTTTTATAATTGTTATTTTAATTACTTGATTTATGATTGTGTATATATGTAATTGTTATTTTATTGATTTATTTGTTAAATTGTTAATTTTTTTAATTGTTAGGTTGATTGATTTGTTAAATTGTTAAATTTTGTTAATTCTTAGGCTAATTAGTTAATTAATTGTAATTTAATTTTAATCAAAACTTATTTTTATTTTATTTATTTTATTTTATTTAAATTTATTTAATTAATTAGGTTAATTATGTTAAATTAGACTAAATTTTTTAATTAATTGTAATTTTGTTAATTAATTATTTAATTTTTCTTAATTAAGTTATTTTTATTTTTATTTAATTAATTTAATTTTTTTAATTATGTTTAATTAGTTGAATTATAAGTTTATTTATATTAGAAATTATTAACTAATTGTTAGTTTAAATTTAATTTGACTAGAATTGGAATCAATTAAGTTAATTAGATTTATATTTAACTTGTTAATTATGTTTAATTTGTTGGATTAAATCTTTATTTATATTAGAAATTGTTAATTAATTTTTATTTTAAATTTAATTTGGTTAGAATTAGAACTAATTAAGTTAATTAGATTTACAATTAATTAATTAATTAGGTTAATTTTATTTAATTGGTGGAATTAAAATTTTCATATTAAAACTTAGAAGTTTATTTTTATTTTAAATTTAATTTGGTTAGAATTAAAATTAATTAATTTAATTATTTCGTATATAATTATTGAAGTGTGTCAAGATACATCATAATATATCAAACCCGATGAGTCGGAGACCCTAGGAAATTGAGGAGAAATAAGGTTGGTTTAATGGTCTATGATGAAGCTGGAAAGACAAGTTTGAAATTTAATTTCGATGGACTATTCGAGATAATTGTTGATCTCGGTGTATGCAAATTGATTATTGATTAATTTAATTTGTTGTTTGTGTGATCATTTGAAATATTTATTAGTTGGAAGTGCTTGTAATTTACGGGGAAGACTTTACTAAAATTTATTAGATGTTTAGAAAAATTATTAATTAAATAATTTTATGTCGAAATATTTGGTCCAGGATGATGGTGAATAATAGTCATTGAATGATTCAAATGGATCGTTTATAAATATAGAAATATTTAAAGTTAATGAAGAAGATGAGAGTGAATATGTATTATAATCAACTGAAGGATAGAAAAACTTAGAAGATTATTATGACACTTATAATTAAAAATTAATTTAATTTGTTATATTCATTAAATTATATGGTTTTGTCTATTATGCAGTTTTTTTTTTTTTTAATGTTGTAGTGCATTTTAGATGTGCTAAATTTTTTTTTGTTTTAATTCATAATAATTTATAATATATTTTCTGTTGACTTTTTATTCATTTATTAAACTATTTAAGGTGTATTGAGATTTTCTCTATTCTTGTGAATCCAATTTGTCTAAAACATAAGGTTTTTATTGGTCGGAAAAAACCTTTTAGAAATTGAGTTAAACTAAACATAAATGGAGTCTTCTGTGATTTTATAAGGATGGGAGACATCTACTCTTGGTGTTGTTTTATATGATGACTCAAGTATCTAGATTAAATTTTTTTTTTCTTATGACATTAGAATCTGTTTGATTTTATGTGCCAAACATTAAGAAATATTTATTGGATTGGAGATGACTTAGTCTATTGGTTATAATCAGGTGTTATTTGAAACAAACTCTAAATCGACTATATAATTATCATCTTCTCACATTGATAATTACAGTGACTATCGTTAATTACTTTATACTATTTGTGAACTCTTACATATCCGTAATAGGTTCAGTTTTTTCGTATCTACAAAGTGACCAATCGAAGTATAAATTGGCTTACTTCTCATATCTATTTTCTTTTGTTAGAAAATTTTTATTATTTGGTTATTTTCATAAGTTGTTTTAACCTTTTATGAGAGGATATTTGTGGAATTTCGAATCTCAATCTATGTACACTTAACTAGTCTTTTCATAGCTTTGCCGCTCCCACACTATGTAAACTTAATTAGTACTTTCAGAATTTTATCTCTCCCTTGAATTAAAAAAAAAAAAAGTGTATATATATATAAATGAGGGACCGGGTACAATATTGACAGCCCGTTTTTACTGCTCTGGATCTATTCATACCTATCCATTTGTCACAGTGGACCCTCATTTCTATTATTTGGCTGGCTAATACTAGGAGGCTCACCTTGAAATAATAGTGCACCTTGCTTGCGTCAAATTATCTCTCAACCACGTTTGAAATCTTCAAACGAGTACACGATCGAATCACGCTACCCTCACGTTTCTCCACGTATTGACGGCAACGTGTAAAACATTTCAAGATTAGCCACCCAGCTACAAAATGATCGGTTCTACTGTGATCTGGAACCCTTTTTTCTTTATCCTCCAAATTATATAGTGGTCTTCATGGATACATGTGAAAGAATCACCATATCGTTTGTTCTCTTGTTTATTATTCTTCCTTCTCAAATTCATTCAGTGGCTGGAGATGGAGATCAACAATCAGGTTCAAGGGAGATGCAAGAGAACCGACCATATCTTACCAAGATAGCAACAGATACCATCTCTTTGTTGAAGGAGTCTCATAGTAATTATTGGGACAAAGTCAAAACCATCATCCATGATCTGCAGTTACAGTTCTTTCCTCCCAATTTAGAGTAAGATAAAAACAATATTTGCTTCTTTTTCTTTTTTCTTTTTTCATTCAACCATTGCTTTTAAGTTAGTAATACTGTAGATTTGATTTGATTTTTTTTTTTTTCATATTTCTTGGGTCAGTTTTAGAAGTGCTGTTGAAGAGAGTACTAGGAGCGAAAATGGTGGAGGTGAAAAGATTAAAAAGGCGGTGGGGAAATGTCTTGAGACAGGCATAAAAACAGCTGAAAAATCAGCTGAATCGGCTGCAGAAGTGATGGGAGAAGCAATGCATGGAGCAGCGGAGAAGGTGAAGAATAAACTATCTAATACGAATGGCCAAGAGAGTATTCATGATGAACTTTAAGCAAACCTGTAGCTAATTGCCTTTTTTACCTAATTAATTGTCATTAACTTTAAGTTTTGAATTATTTAATAAAATAAATTATGGCTTACGTACCCTAAAAAATATAGCCTTGAATTTTAAGGCTAAATCTTTGTGCTATAACATGTATAGCTGCTAATGACAATTTATTCTTTTATATATACATATATATACTTGCATATGATGAATGGAATAACAAAAAAACCATTGAAAAGTATTTCTATGTCAAAAAAAAAAAAAATTGTTAATTCAGTAAACTTTACTTTTAAAAAATCTTAAATTCATGTCAATATAAAAATTTGTTGTTGTAGTAGGCTTTTCAAATTGCATGGTAATCTTGATTTTTGTTCCCTGATCTAATCCTTTATTCGAAAAGGAAGTTGTTGTAGATTCCAGAACTGGCACAATCACTAAAATTAATAGATGTTAATCTTATTAATAAATATTTTATTAATCATTTATTATTATTATTATTATTTATTAACTCCACGAGTTATCACACCTGCGTGCGTGAACATACAATAAATGGGTACCTCAGCATGCAATGTTTTCCTTCAAATAATAAAACCCTTCCCTCGTCTTTTCCTTTTCTCTTCTTGAACAACCCAAAAACAATAACGAAAGGATATTAAGGATAAAAATAGCCCTGTCCAGGTACGTCTGCAAAACATAGTCGTATATGTATAGCCATGCCTTTTTACCTTCTCCTATTCTAATATCAGGAAAAAAACATTTATAAGTATGAATTCGAGAAATGTAATTAAATAAAGTCAGTTTCTAATTTAGTATTGTTCATGAGTTAGTGTTTAGCGAAAAGAAGAGTGTATATATAATTAAGATAAGCCAGAATTTTTTGTTTCATTACTACAAAATTGTCTTGTTTCTATTATCATTAACCATTTGTCAGGTCAGGTGTTGATAATATGGCTAAAACTACAAACAAGCAAAGCAAAGCAAAAACAGCTTCCAATTGAAGGTGCCTCAGCTGTCATCAAACACAAAAAATCGAACGAGACGTTAGCGGCAACACAACCTGGTCTCCATCTATGGATGTTGTTAGTGTGGCTAAAACTAGAGTGGGCAAGCGAAGCAAAAACTGCTCGAAGAACATCCAATTGAAGGTGCCTCAGCTGTCATCAAACACAAAAATCAAACCAGATGTTAGCGGCAACACAACCTGCTCTACATCTATGGATGTTAATAGTGTGGCTAAAACTAGAGTGGGCAAGCGAAGCAAAAACAGCTCGAAGAACATCCCAGTGAAGGCTTGGCAGTGGGCAACAAACGTAAAAAGCGAACCAGAAATTAGCAGCTATAGAACCTGGTCTCCATATGTGGATGGCATAGTAGGGATACCCAAATCTGTGGCTGAGATATTAGGTACTGATGCAATTATCAATTTTGTACTTTATGGTCCGAGAAATGCCCGTCGACTGCCGATTTTCAAAAGAATGTCCTTAGAACACGAGATTGGCTAGATAATAGCTTCTTTATCTTTTATCCTTGTGTGTGTTTTGTTCATTTGAGAAGAGTTAAGGAATTTTTTTCTAAAGAAATCACTGATAGTGCCAATCATCTGAGTTGCTTTCATGTATAGGTTCATTCTTTCCAGTAATTGTTTACTGCCGCTGCGAATGACATTAGACCAAGGAAATTATGTCTATTTTATCGCAAGTTCATATAATGCTTACGTAGCAATATTTTTCCCTTTTGGGGGGGGGGGTAAAGAGTGCAAGCTAGTTTTTTAGAAAATTGAATTCTTTCAAGATAGCAAGACAATATCCAAACACAAGTCTTATAACATCCTCGATCTAGGACCTAAATACGTTGATGATATTATTGTTTTGTCTCACAATGAGTGCAAGACAAGACACTGTGTCATTCCTATAGTGTTATTAAGTATGATTTATGTTGCGAAAACCTATTGAATAACTAATAGGTCCAACTTTCCTTATAAATTTCAGCTTAAAATGCATTATAAATTTTTTTTCTTTTTAATATTTTATTTTAATAGTTTATCCTAAAATAACTAGATCTGTGTCTCTTGACTTTATTAAATTCTTTTTCTATTAGCTAGATTAAATTTATCTAGCCGATACCCATTATTTGACGAGTCTATCTTTTTTCCTATATTAATTATCATCTTTTAATTAAATAACTTGACTACCCATATCATTATTATCAAACGATAGAATCTAGATTATTAAACTAATAAAAACTATACTACACATTATTATGTTATTACATATTTAACAAGTCGAAAATTGGTTAACATACTACCTATTTTTCTTTTTTTTTACATGACCATCGGTTTAGTACCACACTATTACCAAAAGTGATTTATTTATTTACAAGTCTATTTTCCCTCGTTTTATTTTTTCTAACTAACCATTTACCTATTCATTACTTTGACAATATATCATATAGAACAAAGTAACCATACTAAAACATACACCAAAATACCGAGAACGAGTAGCACTCGCGATATAAAGTAGGTCCAACTTATAACCACGGGTAAGATACAATCGTCGAAAAGACGGGGAGTTCCTTTAGTAACAAGCTCCATGAAAAGCATAGTTATCACTTTATACTCTTTACCCCTACATCACAAGAATTGGGTGAGCGGTTGCTCGGTAAATTAATCATGCATGACATGTGCATATGCAAGTGAAATGAACTTTTGCATGTAAATGCATTTTGAAATCCTTGCCATGTTCTTTTTTGAAATCATTTCCATTTCATGAAATATGTTTCATGTCCATTTTGAAAAATCTTTTTTGTGCTTAGACGAGCCTTGCTAAACATTTAAATGTACATACTTGATCCTCTTTTCCTAAGCATTTCTCATGTGGGGCCATCACCAATTCCCCCGTAGTCAAGGCCATTACCAATTCTCTCAATAAGAAATGTCATTTTCTTCTATTGTGGCATTTACCAATTCCCACAAGAAAAAAATTCTTTAGTTGAGGTCTTCACCAATTCTCTCGGTGAAGGAAATGTCATTGATATTTTCGAGTCAATTGGAGCCATTTCTAGTTCCCCTAGAGAAGAAATTCTTTGAAAGAAAATGCGGGACCATGAAAACCATGAAGTCCTTTCCTTTGCCTTTGAAAAATCACAAAGAAAATCATTTTCATGATTTTGGCATGCATATGCATTTAATGTAAATGCACAATTCCATGAATCAAGGTAATATATGCCATGAATATATGTGCAACTATGCAATGGAAATTCCATACTCAAAATAATAAAATGCACATTGAAACCTATTACATTTCCATGTATCACATTCCAATCAAGGTACACAATTCAATCACAATAAATATTTAACATGGTGTACCATGTAACATTACATTTCAAATATTCATACGAATCATGAAACACAATTGACAACACTATTCAAGCCACAAGGCATTGCACCAATTCATTCATCCATGTCATGATTTCTATAACCAATCATGCTATAAATGCTTAATTGCATATTTTGAACACAAGCATTGCAATTAACTCATCATGAAACCACTAATTGCAATATGTAAACCATTTAACCACCATAATACACAATTCAACCTTTTAACCCTAATCTTTCTACCTTAGGTCGAATGTGCACCTAGTTTGAGCTAGGTGGATTATTCAATTTTAATGCCAATTTCTAAGCTAAATCATCTTAATATACTTCAATAACATGTAATAAACCAATTAAATATCAATAGGCTAAATGTACGAAAAAAAACCTAATTTTTCACTATTTAGGTCGAATGTATGCGTAAGTAAAACTAGGTGTATTTTTCAATTTTAAGGTCAATTCTCATATTAAATCATCTAATTACAATATAATAACATGTTTTCAATCAATTAAACATCAATTAAAAAAAAAAGCACAATAAACCCTAAATTCTACTACTTGGGTCGAAAGTTCCTATAGAAATAGGCTAGGTAGTTTTGCATTTTTCCTACTTATGTTCTTGCTCAATTAACATATTTCAATTTCAATTTCATCGATTACGACCTTTAATCCATTTCCCTCAATTTTACATAATCAAGAACCTTAACCTTAATTTATGAAATTAATTCAATCAAACTTAAATTAAAGATGCATGCAAAACCAACAATTCACACTAAATAACATGTTCTTGTGATATAGGTGAGATTAACTTATCTTAATTGCTCCAATTAAATCCTTTTAGGTTGAGTTTTCTTTCTCTCTTTTTTTTTCCTCTAAATTTTGGCCAAATGCTAAATTTTTCCTCCTTGGTATTCTTGATCTTCCATTTATATTTCTAGGCTCAATTAGGTGATTTAAGGATGTTTTTAGCGTTTAGGTGGAATTGGTTTATGATTTCCTAGGAAATTTTTACAAGAGTTTGCCCTAATTTTTCAATTTTTTCAACTATTTTTCTTCCTCCTTTATGCCGAATTTATAAGTGAGATTGGGTGGACTTTTGCTTGTTTTGACTTGATCTCCACCCTTCATTTACTTTAATCTCCACCCTTGATTCATTTTTTAATCCTAGCCTCTCATTTGATTAAATCTCCACCATCCATCTTTTTTTTAATCCTAACCTTTGATTACTTCAATCTTAACCTTCCATATGGTAAGTCATATAATTGCATTCATTTATTAAGGGTGGGAGGTGGTGGGTTAAGGTGGAAATATTTGTCTAAATTGTTTTATTTTAGTCCCTTGATTTATCACACTTTTTCAATTTAATAGCTACTTCTAGTCTCTCCAATTTTAATCAACTACTTTTAGTCCTGCCTTAAGGCTTTTTCAACATCTTTATACCTCAAATTTATTTCAAAAATTATTTAAGGGCTAAAGCTTTTAATTTTATGCAATTAAATTCCTAATTTTATGTAGTTAGGCCCCTAACCTTATGCAATTAAATCCCTATACACATAATTGATTTCATGCACTTTCGAAAACATAATTTCTTTTCACCATAAATTCATACACTTCATATAGTAATTTATTCTCCAATCACATAATTTTTATATAGTCATTTAGGCTCTCAAAACAATTATTTTGCATAAAATTTCACTATTCACATACAAAAAAGTCAATAAAATATTCATTAAGCACGGAAAAATTCACTTAAGTGCATAGAATATTTTAGCACCCCTCTAGTTATTTTTCTACGCACATGAAATAATTTTCATATACATTTAATATGTATTAGTTCATTTATTCGTAGGTTCGGGATATTATACCTTTTCCTCCTTATTAAAATTTCATCCTTAAAATTTCTAACTAAATAATTTGGGATAATTAGTTTGCATTTATGTGTCTCTTTCTCATATTGCTTCCTCAATATTATGGTTCCTCTATAATATTTTCACCAAGGGAACATCTTTATTTTGTAACCGTTTTACCTCTCGGTCCAACGCTTGTATCGGTCCCTCTTCATAACTCATGTCATGTTAGAGGTCTAGTGGCTCACTATTCAGTATATAGGTTGGGTCCTCGATATATTTTTTAAACATGGACACATGAAACGTATCATGAATTAAGGAGAATGTGGAAGTGCTAGCATGTATGCTCTATCACTCGATTCTCTCTAATATTTCATATGGTTCAATATACCTCGGACTTAACTTTCCTTTTCTCCCAAACCTTATCACACCCTTCATTATAGCCACTTTCAAATATACCTTATTGCCAACCTTAAATTCTAACTCTTTCCTCCTTACGTCTATATGACTTTTCTATCAGCTTTGGGTTGTTTTCATTCTTTCTCTAATTCATTGCACTACGTTAGTTGTTTGATGGATTAACTCGGTCCTAGAAATTTTCTTTCGCCTACATTATCCCGAGTGTATTGTTGATCGACACTTCCTTTTGTATAGAGTTTCATATGATGCCATACCAATACTTGTTTCATAACTATTATTGTAGGCGAATTCGGCTAATGATAGATATCTTTCCCAGCTTGCGGACCAATCCAAGCAAGCAAGCCAATAACATATCCTATATTATTTTTTTTCCTTTTCTCGTTTCTCCATCACTTTGAGGGTGAAATGTAGTGCTAAAGTTCAACTTGGTTCCCATCACTTCATGTAAGCTTCTTTAAAATCATGACGTGAATCATGGATTATGATCCGATACGATCAATATTGGGATCCCATGTAATCTTACAATCTCTTTTAAATATAATTCTACATATTATTGCATGAAATACATTAATTTGATTGCCAAGAAGTGAGCTAATTTTGGTTAATTGGTCCATAATGACCCAAATACCATTGGCTCCACATTCGATCGTGGTAATCCAAAGATGAAATCCATTGATATGTGTTTCATTTCCACTCAAGAATGTCCAACGGTCTTAACAATCATGAGGATCTTTGGTGTTCAACCTTGACTTGCCGACATGTCAAACATCTCGTCACAAATTCAGCAATATCACATTTCATTCCCTTTCACTAATAGATCTCTTTGAGATCTCGATACATTTTAGTATCACCGGGGTCTATGGTGTAGGACGTGGCATGAGCTTTTTAAAAATTTCCTCTTAAACCATGAAAACAATGAAGTCTTTTCCTTTGCCTTTGAAAATTCATAAAGAAAATCCTTTTCATAATTATGACATGCATATGCATTTAATGTAAATGCATAATCGATAAATCAATATGATGCATGCCATGAATATGTGTGCATCTATGCAATGAAAATTGCATACCTTAACATAATAAAATGCACATCGAAACCTATTACCTTTCCATGCATCACATTCCAATCAAGATACATAATTCAATCACAAAAAACTTTTAACATGGTATATCATATGACATCATATTTTACATATTCATACAAATCATGAACACAATTGACAACACCATTCAAGCGATAAGGCATTGCACCAATTCATTCATCTATGTCACAATTTTCATAGGTATAAGCAATCATGCCACAAACATTAAATTCATACTTTGAACCCATGCATTGCAATTAACTCATCATGAAACCACTAATTACAATATGTAAATCATTTAATCACCATAATACATAATTCAACTTTTTAACCTTAATTTTTCTACCTTAAGTCGAATGTGCACCTAGTTTGAGTTAAGTGGATTATTCAATTTTATTGCTAATTTTCATGCTAAATCATCTTAATAAACTTCAATAACATGTAATAAACCAATTAATCATCAATATGCCAAATGCACTAAAAACCCTAATTTTCGCTATTTAGGTCGAATGTATTCTTAAGTGAAACTACATGTATTTCTTTTAATTTTAATGTCAATTCTCATGCCTAATCATCCAATTGCAATACAATAACATGTTTTCAATCAATTAAACATCAATAAAACAATTTTGAGTCGAAAGTTTCTCTAGGAATAGGCTACGTAGTTTTGCATGTTTTCTACTTATTTTCATGCTCGGTTAGCATATTCCAATTTCAATTTCATCGATTACAACATTTAATCCATTTTCCTCAATTTTACATAATTAAGAACTCCAACCTTAATTTATGAAATTAATTCAATCAAACTTAAATTAAAAATGCAAAACCAACAATTCACACTAAATAACATGCTTTTATATTGCGAGGCGAGATTAAATTACCTTAATTGCTTCAATTAAATCCTTTTTAGGTTGAGTTTTCTCTCTCTTTTCTTTTTCCTCCAAATTTCGGCCAAATGCTAAATTTTTCCTCCTTGTCTTGATCATCCATTTATAATTCCAAGCTCAATTAGGTGATGTAAGGGTGTTTTCAATGTTCATGTAGAATTGACTTATGATTTTCTAGGAAATTTTTGAAAGAGTTTACCCTAAGTTTTCAATTTTTCCAATCATTTTTCTTCCTTCTTTATGCCGAATTTATAGGTGAGATTGGGTGGCCTTTTGCCTGTTTTAACTTGATCTCCATCCTCCATTTGCTTTAATATTCATCTTTGATTCATCTTTTAATCCTAACCTCTCGGTTTGTTAAATCTCCACCACCCATCTTTCTTTTAATCTTAATCTTTGGTTACTTCAATCCTAACTTTCCATTTGGTACGTCAAATAATTGCATTTATTTATTATGACAAGTTAAGATGGAAAAATTTATACTAATTGTTTAATTTTAATCCTTTGAAATATCATACTTGTTCAATTTAATTCCTACTTTTAGTCCCTCTAATTTTAATTAACTACTTTTGATCCTTCCTTAAAGCTTTTCCAATATCTTTATACCTCCTTAAATTTATTTCAAAACTTATTTGAAGGATAAAGCTTTTAATTTTATGCAATTAAATTCCTAATTTTATGCAATTAGATCTCTATGCACGTAATTAATTCCATGCACTTTCAAAAAATAATTTCTTTTCACCATAAATTCACACTTTCTATAGTAATTTATTCATCAATCACATAATTTTATACACTCATTTAGGCACTCAAAACAATTATCAATAAAATATTCACCAAGAATAAAAAAATTTACTTAAGTACACAAAATATTCTAACACTCATCTAGCAATTTTTTTATGCACATGGAATAATTTTCACATACATTTAATATGTATTAATTCATTTATTCATAAGTTCGAGATAATACAAGTCTTATAATAACTAGGATACAAACAGTTTGAGAGTATAATTTCCTTCTCAAAAACCAATACAAATACAAAAAGAAGAGGGTTCCGTGGAGATTAATTGCCTCTACTTCAGGTTGAACAATCAATCACTATACATGTAAATTGTGACCAAACTGTAACCCAAAAACTTACAGCGGTGTGGGCCATGGAAAAGAATCAATTGAACGGTTTACAAGCAAAACAGGAGGAATTCCATATCAAAAAATAGAAATTCAGCACCACAGAAACGCGCATCTTTGCCCAACAAATCCAGAGCCAAACATCATCAAACATTAATATCCATGCGCTTCGATCTTGCTGTGTTGCTTATTTCTTGGGAACCAGCCAGGGGAAATCTTGGAAAGCTGTAACTCTCAGTGACCAAAACCGGTTGTTGTGGGTAAAGTGTTGGAGGTGGTGTAAGATTTCGTTGAGCTGGCAGGGGAGGGAGCATATTGTATTTGTAAGGATCACCTGCTAAGCTGCAATAGCGAAAAACTGGTCATGTCCCCAAATGGAACACAAATCAAGTTAAAAAGAATAAAATTTAGATTATGAACTACCAATATGACAAATGATGAACATATAAGCTGAACATAGTAACAGCCGGACCAAACTCCTAAATTGTATCACCATTCACCAAACCATAAAAAACATCAATCAAATATCAGTTACAATTCCAACAATTCTTCTCTCATTCTTAAGCAACATAAACTAGCAACCACTCTCTCCCCCAGCAGCCCAAGAAAAGATCAAATAAAATTCTGGGTGGCATAAATTATCAGCAAAGCTAAGTACATAATAAACATGATCTTGGGATCTGTTCAAAAAAGCATTCACAACACAAGGACAAGCAGATTTTGTACATCGAGAAAAAGTAACCCCTCAGGTGTCTTGGTGACAAGGGAATTCTATGTTCGACCTCTTCTTACTGAAAAAATGCAGCTTTCATCTTAATTTACAAAAAATGACATTTTTGTTTTGTGGCACACTGATGGCAGACAGGAGTATTTTGCACGGAAAACACATACATAAATATCATTAGTACAGGTTACCTTGTAGTCTTGTAAAATGGATCATCATCACTTATATTTTCATCTAAACGCTGGACAGATCTCTGAACTGGAGAAGCAGACCATGGACTTGGTGCAGGTAATTCATCTGAAAAATATCTTCTCCTAATCAACTGAAACAAAGTGATCCAAACAAAGTTGGAAAAATGTCCAGCATGAAGAATAAATAGATAAATACACACACAAACATGCTAAAAGACGAAGATATAAGAGCCAAATACTTACCATTCGAAAAAATTTTACCACAGCTTCTTTATCATACCTTGCTTCTTTGGCAGCCTGCCCGCATTAACAAAGAAACCATTATGCAGAATTCGTATCAGATATGGAGAGGATGGTATTAAGACCATGATTTTAGTTAGTATACACAATATATTTAAGATAGATCTTACTCAAAATACTCCCTCCATCCCATATTTATGGCTTTCATCAATTTCGAAAAGCCAACAAAAATTAACTTTGACCAACTTTTTTAAATTAGTATTGAAGAGTAAAAATTTCAAAATTTGAGTTTTAGAATGATTAAAGTCTCTATTTTTGTTAAATTTTTATCTAATATGAAATTAGATAATGCTAGAGATACTTAAATCTTTTTACTAAAATTTTTTATTAGGTGACATGGCAACATGCAATTGGCGTTTTATCAATCACTCAATTTCATGATTATAATTATCCCATTAAATGGGATAAGATCTACATTCCATGATTTGAAATTATTTCCTTGCAATAGAAGCCAAGTCACTTTGTCAAAAAGATATAGTACCTCTAGCATTGCCCTATAAGATTAAAGAAAAAATTAGTCCAAAATATGTTATATTGACCTCTGAAAAGTCAAAGGGGCCAATAAAACTGTGACGGAGGGAGTACTGTCTTTTACATTTATTAATATATCATCAGCTAGATGTACCAACCGTAAATTAAGGATAAGTCATCTGATTTGACCAACTACCTAACTTTTGTCAAGATATTACACTGACTACTGATAGTTTCAAGATAGAAAAAACAAGCTTAGATAGACTCGCCACTTGGATTAGTACTCTCTCAAACGTTTAATGAATATATTCTTGTTCAAAGCACACATTCGGACTAAGAAAGAAAACAATTAAGAAAATAGAAAAGGAGATATGTAAAGCATAAAACCCCAGCTATCAGGGATCTAGCATAGAAAATATTGTGCCTGATTTTCTACTCCTGAAACATACACAGCCAACTACAAAGACATCACTCAGCACCATATCACTTTATAAGTCCGAAATCTCCCTACCAATGCATCAACAACTAAGTCACTGATTTTGGCATAGCCCACCAAATGCCAACCAGTGAGAAAACTAACCAGAATTGTGTGGCCGTTGCACAATACAAGAAGAGATGCTACACCAACTTCCCACTTATCTTAGCCATGCAACATCAATGGGTCCAATACATCATAAAAATGTTTTCTCTAGATTTGTGATCATGCTTCTCAAGTTTCCTATCATCCGATGACCATTTAGAGGCATATATTCTGTGCAATTGCATGTGAGAGAGTATGTGTGAGTGTGGAAGATGGGAATAAAGCTAGGGGAGGCAATGAATAAGGAAAAAGAAGTTCAAGAAAAGTTTCCTATGCAGACCTGTCTATAGTTAATGGACAAGTAGATAGGCAGGAGAGATCTTATAAAAGAGCAGGAGTAAGTTCTTCTGCACAGAGAAAGAGAGGCAAAAAGAAGAATAGGAGGAGCAGATATAAGAAGAAAAAGAAAGGGATGGCTGTCTTCTTTCAATATTATTATATTTTACAACTTCCATATTTACCACTCTGAAGTATTAATTCACACACAGAAACACTGACCCCAATTTGGCATTAAATAAATCTTTAGAAGAGGAAGCTTAAGTTGAAATGCTTACTGCAATATGGCCTCCGCTTCCAGGAAAGCTCTCTGTCAATGGAATTTCCTCACTGGAAGAAAGCAAGCCCTGCTTCTCGACCCACTGTCGTGCTGCATCAACAAGGTTGCCACTGCTTCCTCTCGTACCCTCTTTTGCAGCAATATCAGCTTTGTTACCAATAACAATATAAGGGACAGGAAGACCACCAGGACCTCCAGAACTTAGAGGGGCTGAAAATGTTCCAGTTGCAGCAATATCAGATGCCCATTTCTGCAAGCTTGTTTTGGTCCTTCTTTGGGAGAGATCATGAACAAAAATAACCCCTGGAGAATTTAAAGCAAGAATCATGTGTAAAAGCCAAATACAGCACATCTTGCAAGTTGCACAAGGGGAAGGGCCACAATGGTTATGACAAGGAAAATTCAGAAAGAACCATCTAAATATTATCGGATGAGAGATGCTGAAAACGAAAATGATGGTGTAGCTATCTTAACAAGCTTTATCGAATATCATTTCCACATGTACTTAGCAGATTTGCCTCCAAAGAACCCAATTTATGAGACAAATAAGAAGTAAAAACAAATCTCTATACCATTTCCTAAATCTACTGCACTGCACCTTCAACTGAATCATTGATGAAAAATATTAATTGAATAAGCAAGTAAACACAAACTTGCTTCCTAAAAGACTGGCACAAAAATAGTAAATGTCTGATTCGAAACCAATGCCTTATCCCAATGATATCAAGAAATAAGGATGCTTACTAAAAGGTTCCAAGAAGGAGACGGCATAATTATCAAACTCTTTTCTCAATAAAAATCTAATGTGTAATTATAGCTAACAGAACACGCATGCCACAAAGAGATGTAAGTGTTTTTAACTGATGTATGCACAGTCAAAGATACAATGCTGGTTATAACTAAAAATGTATCTAGAAAATAACAAGGTTTAGAAATACAGTTAGCCAAGAAGAAAAAATGGCACTCACCATTAATTTGAGAATAGAATAGAGACCGGCAATCTTTGTATCGGTCATGACCTGACACATCCCAGAGTTCAATAAAGAAATCTCTCTCAGAATCACCTTTAATACTGCTTGATGAGCTACCAGAATTACCATAAGTAATGTGCTGTAAAAGAGTGATGGGAAGAACTTAATTAAGATTTTGAACTCCAAAAAGTATACTACCAAGTTATTGTAGACTAACAAAGCCATGTTAAAAACCTTACCTTCACACCAACTGTACATCCAATTGTCTGAGAAGGGCGAGCGGTGGAAGAACCTTTGACAATAAGATGAACAAGTGAAGTTTTACCCACACCTACAAAGATAAAAATAAAAAATGAATTTGATCTCAGCTACCAAAGGGGGGAATATATCAGGGAACTTAGAGGAGAAAATGACTTTCACTTCATACAAGCAAACACAAATCATGCAAGCAAATCACAGGCCCTCCAACAAGTCACAATGCATGTGTGAGTTGAGCAGATGCAGGCACACTTGAGTTTACTTTCTTTTATTTTGAGGCCAATATGCAGGCAACTGTTAGACTAATTATTATTATTGATGGATAAGAACAAATATTAGGCTCATCCCTCATGCCATATGCATAAACCTAGAGGAGTCTGAAATTTTTAACATTACACCATCCATTTAACATTCTGCCTTAAAGGGAGAATTCCTGGGCCCAAAATATAAACCTAGAGAAGTCTGAACTGTTCATGCCATCTGCATGACATGCTCAAAACAGCTACTCTACTGCCACACCAAGACGCCAACCCAGTCATAAAGGAAAGTGTTCTACTGACCCTTATTTGAACAAAATCCAGATCTTAATTCCAAAGTCACAGAGACTAATTTTCTGTGCATTAAACTGCTACAGAAATAATTACATAAATTCATAATATTGCTCATTCCAGTTTTCTTTCCTCCTTCCAACCTCTAGTTTACCGAAAAGTTAAAATAACAATAAGTTAGTATTCCTTGGGATTAAACTCACACATCATATCTGTAGAAGATGTTGATAGCTGCTGCATACATTTCATTTTAATATCAAGACAATGCCTAAAGGAATCATCTTGGTGATCAGAGTTGAAGCCAAACCCTGGAGATTTGAAGGTATAAAGGACTCTGAAAGTGCAAAACACAACTCTCTACTCTGATCTACAACCAAAACAATGTTTTTCCCTTCAAACTATTTAGATCTCACACAATGAAAGAACCATTGTAACTATCTAATCATCATCGACCACATGTCATCAAAAGGATAATAATCCCAATGCCCATCAGACACCTTTTTTGGTCCAACATGGAGTATTCAGACCATCCATTAGTCATATTGGCAAGTTCACATATATACAAATAAATCATCAATACTCCAAATCAACTGATTCCGATGGATTTCAGCAGAAATTGCACATGTAACTACTTAAAGACCACTAAAGATACTCATTTCTACCTTTCAAGAAACTCTAACACTACCCATGTATTCCAACAGAAGCACAATTCACCTATATCCCCTTACAAATAATAATAATAATAATAATAATAATAATTTGCAAAATCAATAAAACAAAGAAGAGAGAGTGGAAATTAATGAAAAGAAAATTACCTGAGTCGCCAACAACAAGAACTCGAACCTGACCACAAGGTGGTCCACCATTTTGATCCTTATTATCTCTCTCACGGTCCCTCCAAAACATAGTAGCAATGTTTTTTCTTCTCCAAAAGAAAAGTAAATCACTCCTTCAAAACTGAACCAGCAAAATAAGTTCCATAAAAGACACTCAATCTAGACAAAGAACAACAAATTCTCCAAAAGGGTATTCCCGAATTCAAATCCATATTAGTACATTAGAAGCAAGCTAAAAATGATCTAAGCTCGTGTATTTATCGTATTTAAACTACACAGGAAAAGGGGGAAAAAGCTCTGATAAAAATGAATCCCTCTCAAAACCCAATAATTGTAACAGATCTAGCAACAAGTTTCCAGGTGGTTTACAAGAAACACGATTAAGAATTGGGTTTCTCTTCAAATTCGCTACAGAATAAAGGAAGAAGTGAATCTGTCATTTTGAATTGAAGCGTATGGTGTTAAAGCAAACTATAAAAAACTGATCATTTAGATCAGAAAAGATAAAAATAAAGGGCAAGGACATATTTGTCACCTAACTTTTTCCGAATCTCAAATGGATCACTATACGAAAATAATTTTCAATTAGATCCCCATGCCATTTATTAAGCATTGCCAATAACCCCGTCTGCACAGTCCAAGAGGACGATCTGGTGGAGGTGAAGGTGTGTTTTCCAGTTTGAACATTAAAACAAGTACTTAAAATATATATATATTTTCTCTAAGTCTGTGTTTATTTGAGGAAAAAATAAATTTAATAGGAAAATCAATTCCTAAGGAAGCTATTTTTCAAAAATATATTTTTTATTATTTAGCAATTACATAAAAAAATTGCTAGAAAATATATTTCAATGTTTATTTGATTAAAAAAAAATAAAATATAAAAAGAGATATGATTGTTGTATCAACAAGTTTTTGAGAAAACTTCAAAAAGATATATTCATAATTTCATAATAAAAGATACATTTAGAAAAATTTAATAAATTTTTATAAGTATTAACTCTAAAATTGTAATTAAAAAATAAAATATACTTTTTTAACTATCAAATCAATTCATCAAAATTACTTGGGACAAAATCAAGTCAATATTTATATTTAGTAAAAAAAAGATTTTAAGTAATTTTAGCATTGTTATTTTAGTAACTCAATTAAGAATTTTTTTTTTTTTAGAAATTGAACTAATAATTTAGTCTGAAAAATAGTTTTATAAATTATTAGTTGTTATTTATAAATAATTATTCATTTGGTCTCAAAAGATTAATGTTGAAATAATTTGTAACTAATTATTCACTACAATTACCAACAAAAGTTTACAATTGATTAAAATTATAAATTATTAATTTAATTACAAATGAATAGTATTGAAAACATAATGTATTTATTAATGAATTAATTAATTTTAATTTTTTTTTTACAAAAAAATTATAGTCTTGTAATAATTATTTTCAATCATTTAAGTATAGTTTGGGTGGTGTTTGAGATAATAGTAAAAAAAAATATTGAAATATTTATTATAAAAATAATTTTAAAGTGTAAAAAGGGTTTTTAAGAATCTTTAATGTATCTATAAATAAAAAATCAAATATTAGTAAAAATAGAGAAAAAATAATTAAATAATTAATAATAATTGTTAAGGAATAATTAAAAATTAATCTGATATATTTTAAATAAAAAGAAGATAGAGAAAAAAATTATTAAAATATATATATAGAGATATGTAACACAACAGACGAGACAACTTGTGAGAAGGAAAAAGTTTTCTATTTTTGAAACTGAAAAAACATTTTTTCAAAAATAATCTATCATTTTTTGTTGACCGAAAATCATTTTTCGTTATTTTTTTTTTCTAAATGCGAAACAAACAATGAAAAATAGAAAAAATAAGTTTTTATAATTTGTTTTTTCCTAAACAAATACAGTCTAAATGTATTATATAGATAGAAAAGATACGTTTTTGTGATTGTTTGTACAAAAAATTTATTCAATCGGTTAACGAAAATACCTCTTACTATTGAATAAAAAAAAATCTATTAAGTTTGTGATATTTATGTTGCATTTTTCAAACGACAAAAAAAAAAAAAAAAAAAAGGAATTAATGGGCTCATGTCCAAATTCCAAATGATGGAGAATAATTTGAGAATCTTTTGCTTCGAAAAAATGGTTAACCTGTTGAGAGTGGGATTTGAACCCACGCCCTTTCGGACCAGAACCTTAATCTGGCGCCTTAGACCAACTCGGCCATCTCAACTTGTTGGTAGCTTCCAGGTTTTTAAATTATATATAAATTTAAAATCAATGCTTTTTTCAACTTTTGGCTACGGATGGCGTTTAGTTGGCGTGAATGAATCATGACATTTAGAGGTTGTTTGGTACTAATTTTTTGTTTTTATTTTCAATTTTTTAAAATTAAAATATTTTTTATGTTTATTATTTTTTTTAATTTTTTTAATTCTTTTAACAAATATATATCATGTAAAAATTATGATATATATATATATGATTAAATTGTGTCATCATGATAATAATATGTATGACAATGACTATTGTGATAATGATATAATGATGATTGATGTAATACTAAGAAAATGATAAGGATTATAGTAAAATTAGATTTATAATGATTGTTACTTTATTGGTAAAAAATAGTAATTGTAGTGAATGATAATGATATGTTGCGAAAGGTTCAAGTAACACCGTAGTGGCAAAGATAGTCATAATATATTTGCAAATATTATCAAAATAATAATCATAATGTTAAAAGAGGTGGCTATGGTGAAAAATAAAATAAAAGTAATAGTTATGTAAATTATGATAATGATAACGGTGCTAATGAAAAAGTAAAATAAAAATAATTGTTGTGTTAAATAAAGTGGTCCTCGTTATCATTATGAAAATAGAAAGATGATATTAGTGCTTGTTGTGATGCTATGATAGTGATAATGTTGGTACATGATATCCTATAAATAAAAAAGTAAAACTAAATATTACAAATTATTTTTTATTATTTTCAAACACTTGTTTTAATTTTTAAAATTTTTTTTAAAAAATAAACACAACAATGCAACCAAACATGTTTTTTTTTTTTTTAAGAGAAAAATAGAAAAATATAGTGATATCATACATCACCTTAATTTTTGAATTTATATAAATATTTTTTTTCCTTAATAGACCATTAAAAAAGACAGGATAAAGATAAAGATAAATAGAGTATGGCGAGAAATTTTATATTATTTCAAAAATAGATAGAGATAAAAAAAATTATGAAAAATTTTATATCATTTCAAAAATAACTAACTAATAGGTATTTGAGAAATTTTATATTATTTTAGAAATAAAATTGATGGTTGTTTAACAAAAGATAGACAAAAGAGTGATAATTAAAAATTATTTTTAAGACTAGATAAAATATTTAAATCATTTTGAAGAGAATTGGTTGTGATGTTTTTTTCTTTTATTTTTGTGACAAAAAGTTTTATATTACTCAACATAACGACTAATATTTATGTTATGGTTGGCTACAAGGAGAGAAACATGTATAAAGATTAAAAGAAATAAACAACAAACAAAATAGATTTACAACGTAGCATTAATTGCGTATATAAACCAGAGCAGAGATGCGTCGTTTTTTACACAGCCCCAAAATTCAGCTAACCCAAACTACCTTATCAATGCGTTTAGCTTTGCACTTGCTTACATGTAGGCAAGCCCAAGAAATGGAAATAGTGATACCTTTTGGGTTATTTTTCTGGCACTTCTTTTGGTTATTGTAAGTTAATAAAACCAAAAACTGAGCCCAGCCTCAGTGGAGTTGACCATAACCATAAAATATGCGAGGCAACAACTGGTAAAAACCTATATAGTTCTCACACAAATAACAATATTCGCTTACTCTTCGGAAAGACAAAAGTTGCAATTTCTCTAGCATAATACGACAGACATTAAAATGTAGTAAAGTAAAGGTTATGTATATATATATATATAGATAATTTGAACTAGGAAGAAGAAGAAGAGTGAGGAGAAGAAGCTTTCAAGGTCCAAGCATGGAGAGGCATCTGGTTATTGTAATAGACCATGCAAGGGCTTTCATGGTTGTGCACTCCGTCATATGTAGTTATCACAAATCTTGAGTCTTCTCTGTCTCTTTCTACTCTCTTTTTTACATTGCATCCTCCGCTTGAACATTTGTAGTAATTTCTGATTAACAATTACGTACATTATTCAATTTAGAATAACATTTAACGATACAAAAAACAACAACCATACCATAATGCATATATATATTAAAGATTATTGTAGAGTCTAGAGACTATTGACAAAATATATAGGAAAAGGAAACAATGAGAGTTTTGTTATTATTATTTTATGTTTGATTTGTTGCTAAGTAAACTGACGGTGCAATTTCTTTTTCCCTTTTTTAACCATGAGGTCAACTCTCAAGTTCTTGCATGGTTATATCTGAAATATTAATTAGTTCAAAATTATTTAAGAGAAATTATCACAACATATTTGTAAAACGGACATCCCGAATTGGAATATCTATTCTCCAATAATTGGAGATTTTTTTTCTTTTGTTTTTAAATAATCACAAAATCTATAATTAAGATGCATCTAGGGATTGGTATATAAGTAGGGATCATGCTATGCATAATGCGTTTTAACCTGAAAATGCAATTTAATCTTTGTATTAAAAGTTGTTACAAACAGGATCCTTAATTAATGTCAAAAAATTTAATTTCAATAATATGACTAAATCTTTGTGTTTTTATTAATAATTTAATGGTTCATTGCATAACCTTTATATATATATCGCCAATTATGGCTTGTCATTCAAAAGTCATTGTAGTTTGTAATTTTCTATTTTATTATAATTTTAAAAACTATGAAATCAAGCATAAAATATAATACATCATTATAGTACTCGATCCATTACATTGTACTGAATATGCTCTTGGTGATCAAAGAGTTTGTTGGAGTGGTGTGGTTAATTTAGGCACACTAATCAATTTTGATTTGAAGTATCGTTGGGTGCAAACAATTCCATATTGGAACCACTATTACCACCTTTTGGATTTAAAATAAATTTTTAAATATACTGATTATAAAAATCGAATCTTAAACTTACCTAAAAATCGACATTTACTTATCAGTAAACTATCATTTTGTGATTATCATACAATCATTTTACTATGCTAATTGATTTATCAAACAAATTAATAAGGTATTTGAAATTCCAATATTAGCATCAACTCTAATTTGATGCTAAAGATCAAGTTATTGGGTGAATCTAAAATATCAACTTTTAATATCTTATAAGAGTAGTAGGAAGTCATGTAATATTCACTTGTATAGCAGTAATATTGTTCAATGAAAAGCCCCAAAAGCAAGACTGCATGTAGAACCCAGATTCCTTGGGCAACTAACAATATCCACTTACTTTTGTTTTGAGATCAAATAAGTAGTATATATAGTTCCTAAATATGTTTAGAGTTCAGTTATACATATTATGTATTTTGTAGTTCTCCAAGTTGGCCAACAAGCTCCTGAACCACACACACATACATGCATATAAATAGAGCCACGACATATACTTTCATTACTCAAGAGTACAGTGATGTCTGCAAAAGATGTCTCAATTGGCTGGACGTGCCTACATATATAGATTGCCGAATAATGGAAAAGTCAAGTGTAACACAATAGACTAGGGCCATATATATATATATGTGTGTGTGTTAATATCCTCCTAGCTAGGTGGGGGTGTGTCTGTGTCGTATGTGCGATATGATGTGGTCGTGGTGTGGCTTCAGTCTCCTTCGGTGCTGGTTAAGCAAATGTTTTTAGCCAGCTAAGACACGAGCACATAAAACTATGGGCGGCTTTGTATGGTGTTTGATGTGAATGATTCCTTTGCTCTTCAATCATGCACCTTCCAGCCACCATCTGATCTCAGGCCACTGGGGGAGTGGATTGAGAATCCAATAGTGCAAAAGGAAAAGGCGATAACTATGTAATGTTTTGTAAAGACTACTTAGGGAGAAGTTATGCCTATTCAAATTATTGAAAAGGTAAGTACGCAACCAACTTAATCTAAGACCATCAATCAGAAACTTCAAGAAATGGGTCCTTGAGCAAAAAATATTCTTTTAGTACTATATATAGTTAGTATAAAAATTGTGGGATAGGCACAGTTATTAATTGAGAAGGAAAAGAGATATTAATTGAAGAATTGCTTTATCAAAGCCATATAGATCATATGTACATGAGATCCAAGATGGCTTGGTCCCCCATGAAAATCTCGTGATGAAATCGAAACAAGTATTAACTCTATCTATCCATAGGCACAATAAAATAACAAAAAACTTACCTTGGATTTGGGCTGTTCTTGACTGACTTCTTTCCATACTTCCTCCATTTAAATCCATCATCCATGATCTCCAGCTCAGATTTTGTTCTAAATGCAACTCTATGCTCCGTTTCTACCTTGTTTTTTCTCACTCCATTCTTGCATTTTCTATACAAATATAGAAAAGAAGGTAGGAAAAAAAAATTATAATTTTCGTCTTAAAGAAACAGAATAAAAAAATAATAATGATAAATTAAAGAATTAGTAGTAGAATAATCTAAAGTGGGCATCAATATCATCACTTGCATGCTATTATTTCTTGATGTTGCACCACTATATCCGGTTGATGAACCACTAGCAATTTGCTCCGATGACACCATACTTCGTGAGGATGAAGCATCTTCACCAAATCCATCATCAAACTTGAGGTAATCCGATACCTGAAACTCAGTCGGTGACGGATCGAAACCTTCATTGATATAAGAATAATTATAGTTAGGGTTAGGGTTCTGAGAATAGTCCATTGCTTACAGAAATGGGAGTCTAGACACAGTACGAGTGGTGACAGAGAGGGACATGTGTAAAATATGGTAGACATCCTTCCAATATATATATTTATAATAAAGTAAAAATATCTAATCCCAAAATATGGTTATATTTAATTCTTTTGAGCTGCTCTCCTTCGTAGGCACCTTCCTGGTGAGATACAATGAAGGTGCCTCACGGGTGCCACGTGTCGACTTTTGGCTATACATTGTGATGTCAGCATGGTGACGTCATTGGCGTCGTTGGCATTTGGGACCACCTGTCTTCAACTCTTGTGCGGATTGCGAGACTTTGTTGTTGTTGGCTTTTGATAGGCTACGGATGGGTGATTGGCGGGGAGAAAGATACTGGGTGTTAACCCTCATAGGAGAGATTTTAATGTCGTAGATTATTATTATTAGTATTAGTTTGTCTGGCACCCATCTCAGGATTATAATCCATCAATTAAGGGGACCATTCAAGCACTCTCCTAAATTATCAAGAATATTGCACAAATAAGAATTTATTTATTTATTCTTTTACACACACATATATATATAATTGGTATTTATTTGCACATACAAATTAATAGTCATTTGTTGGATGTATATTTAAAGTCCAGCCCAAAAATAGCCGTACATAACCTATTAGAAAATTAAACAGCAACAGACTATGAGAAAAAAGTTTCTTTGATTAGGAAGCTTGTGAATTTAAAATATCGAAATGAAAAATCTATTGCTAAACACTTGAATGACTTTAAAAATTTGATTAATATTAAACAGTGATGGATGATGAGTTTAGTACTATATTTTTTGAAAACTTTACTAGAAAGTAAGGAGATTTTGATTATGACACTTGATAATTTTGTTTCAAATAGTATTTTGTCACTATCCATGATTAAAAATAGCTTGTTTTATAAAGAAACAAGATGAAGCAAAGTGGTTGTGGATAAAACACAAGCTCTTGTTGTAGAAAATAAAGGGAGGAGTCTAAAATTTTTTTTAATAAGCATGGTAAATCTAGAGGTAAATCACAAAGTTGTGATTGTTTTAAATATTATCATTGTGAAAGAGAATGTCACATAAAAAAAAATTACAAAGAATGGAAGAAAGAATAAGAAGAACGGAAGAATTAAAATAAAGATAATGAAAATAACAACACATTATTAACTCCAGATTGGGATGTGGTGGTACTCTTATAAGAAGAGAGTAAGTATAATATTGCAAATCTTTATGTTGAATGAATTGGTGACTTAGTGACTACATATCATGCTTCTTTTAGAAATTAATTCTTTACCGTGTACAAAGTAGAAGACTTCAACATGTAAAGATGAGCAATGATAGCTATGCTAGTGTTTTAATAGTTGATAATGCATGCATAAAGGCATGAACATGTTATACACTAATTTTAAAACATATGTTACATGTATCGAATTTATGCTCGAGGATGATTCCTACTTATGCCTTGGATATTTTCGAATATTACAATCATTTTGGCGATGGAAGATGAAAACTTACCAAGAAATCAATAGTTATTGCTAAAGGTAATATTTGTGATAAACTCGTACAAGATAAAAATATAATTAATCGGACTTGAGAATAGTATAGTTAGACATAGAACTTTTCTAAACTTGTGGTCCAAATAACGAGCTCGAGTGAATAAAAAAAATTGATAAAGAAGTCTTATATTACTTATGCTAAGAAGATTGCCACATATGGGAAAATATTGAATGGAGAACATGAATTGACATTGAGCCAACCATTGGTAATGACAAAGACACCGAGAGTGTTGAGCAAGGGGAGTAGGACACTCCATTTCGGGATATATAGTCTCTTATAAATAGGTTTGCTAGTTTGTATCATTCTTTTACCCGAGTATTCTAATTCTAATAATGTTTTTTGATGGATGAGGGGAAGCTAAATAGCTTTTTAATATTTGAACTTGTAATAAGGATAAAAAAAAAAGTTTAATGATTGGCAATATCATTGGCTTTGTGAGGTAATGGAGAAACAGATTAACGATGTTGAGAATGATCATCCAAGATAAAGATTGATAGTAGGCATTATTTATTAAATTGATTCTCTAATATTTAGTCTTTAGAATGTTTTTTTTGCCAAGTTGTATGTAATGAATAAATTTTATTTTATTATTTAGGAGAAGAATGGAGACAAATGAGCAAAAGTGTGCCAACTTAGGCAAAATTCTACAATGTTAGCGAGATTGACCTTTAAAGAAAGATATAGAAATTTCACATTCTTAAAGTTCCAAAATGTGAAAGAAGCATTATTGAGATTCAAAATGGATATCTTAAGCTTTCTAAATTGAATTTAAATGCACAAATTCAAGTTTATTTGGGCTTTCAAAGTCGACTACAAAGTTAGGTAAAAAAAATTAGATCTTGTTGCAATACAAATAACGATCGGTATTTAGAAAATATCTAAATTTTTAGATATTCTATTAAGATAATTCAAAATCCTACAAGAAGAAGACATCAAGGCCTATAATTTTTTTAAAGATCTTAAATCCAAAATCAGCTGGCAACTTATCCGAAGTTACCTCGAAAGTTCCAACAAAAATCTAAATTCTCATTTAACATGTCCTAATTAATTTGGAAATAAAGCATATAAGATAGGATTTATTAGTTATTATAATTATCTAATTAAGCGTATAAATAACCTTTATAATTACTTGAAAGAGGTTACACACTCATTCATAAGAAATAGAGGCGAAATGCTATATTATGTCTAACTAATTTTATTGATTTGGTTAAAGAGATTTCAACTTCAATTCACACAAGATTAAGAGACAAGATTTTTATCTTTAAAATATTCTTAATGAATTCAAATATCTTTTTTTTATTTAATTTTAATTACTTATAATTGCATAGATAATTGTCTAAAGAGGCCTATCAATTAATTTTCTATTGTGACTAATACCTAACTATCTTTTATAATTTGTAATTGTTATGAAAAGTTTAATACAAATAGCAATTAGCAATTATGTTTTTATGATTATGATTCTAGTTTTTGTTGATTACCTAAAGAAAACAAAGAATGAATTAAACGATTTAACCTTCTTAAAATTGTTCAATTTTTGCACCTTCCTAATTCGTAATGCTATTATTAAATTAACCGAGTATTGCTTAATACTAAATCGGTTAATAATAAAAATTTAGGCACTCGGGCTTGAATTAATAAACATAGAAAAGATTAAGATTTATTTGAAATTTGGGTAATTTTTGGCCAAGTATTCGATAAGAGAGTAGTAATTTAAGTGTCTATGATTAATCTGCGAATTGAATGAGTGATTTCTCCTTGCACTCGAAGTGTTTATCATAGTAGTTTTTCATGTTTAATTTTTGTTTTATTATAATTCTGATTTTCACTACAACCACCCCCTTTCATTCTAAGTTTAATAGAATTGATCATTCGATCTCTAAAATTTGACCCGGACTTGCTAATACTACAAAATTGATGAGAATAGCAAAATAAATTAATTTTAGTAAATTCAACAAGCATCAAAGATCATGTTGATATATTGATAAAATTGATAATGGGTGAGAAGAATGGATTTTGTGCTAGTATGACAGTGCATGAAGTTTGAATGATGAGTTGAGATTTTCTCCTCATGGGTTGGAGGGAGAGACTTTTAGGTGTATGTTTAAGGTCTAGTATATGAGTGGCATTAGCATAACCATTGAGAAATCAAATAGGAAATGAATTAATCATAAAAAGGAATAGAGTTAAATAATAAAAAAAATACTATTATGAAACTAGAAATGAAAAGTTTCTTTTCTATTTTGCTTTTCTTGTTTAGTCGACACATACATATAAAAAAAAATTATCTTTCTTTTATATGCATTTGCTAGAAAGAGCAATTGGAGAGAGGAAAAAGAAGAAGCAAAAGTCTCTTTTTTTTATTATTCTTTGACTGAATTCTATAGGAAGAAAAGAATGATTTTTAGTGCATAAAATATCAGAATTTTTCTAGCATTTATTTTTTGAGTACTACAATTATAGAAAATTATAGTGTTCAAGATAGTGATCTCATACAATATTGAACTTTACAAAAATATAGAGATTTTGCATATTCCAAACTTGTACCGAGATGAATTTAACTAAATAAATAACTTGTATTACCTATTAATATTTTTTCTTCTTAATTTCACACACACAAAAAAAAGTTGAGTTATTGTGGTACTTTTTCTTATTATAATGGACTATTTCGAGTTGGTTTCGTGTTTTTCCTTACGATAGAGAGGCTTTTTTTACTTAAATTTAGTGTTCTTATGGTTGTACTTTTTTGATTAATTTATTTTATATTCTTGATCGTTGTGGGTATTTTCTTTGATTATTTTTTTTTATATAAAATCTAATTTACTTGAAACAAGATTAAATTTTTAACACTATTATATGAAAGATTTAGGCTCATAGTTAAAAGGGTGTGCTTTCAACTCTTTTGATTCACAACTCCTACTAGATTAATTGTAAAAAAAAAAAAATTATTTGTTCTCACTTTTTATATGAATTGTATTTAGTTTTATTTTAACTGGATTAAAAAAATAAATTTCATTTTAGTATGTTAATATGAATCGGATGATGCTTTAAAGAATAAAATTAGAATGGAGTCTAGTAAGCAACTTGCACTTTATCATGTTACTATAATTTAGTGATCGATGTTGTTTTCAATTACTATTTTAATTTCATTATTAACATATGGCTTGGTTGTTAATTTAGCCATTTGAACATGAAGATTTTAAATTGTCTCCTTATGCGATATAATTATTACCACTCAATTTTAGATCTCTTTGTTTTGCATATTCTTCTAAAAACAATGATGAAAATGCAAATAATAATAATAATAATAATTAAATGTGTGATGTTTAATTTGCTTGATTGTACAATTTCTATCCTATGATTAGGAGTTTTTAGAAATCTCATGTTTTTTTAAGAGTTTATAAAAAATTACAAAAAGAGAAAATAGAAAATCAAAAGAAAAA